CCCTCTCCTGCTGGTACCCTCACCACAGCTCAGGCGTTACGACAGGAACATGGAGGATGGAGTAAGTGAGACCAGTGAACGGCCTAGAGTAGTGCTTCACTCGCATTGAACACGATGATCTAGGACCAAAACGGGAGTCCTCCAACCTGTGCCCTCACCTCACTCACAATCTCTTGTGATGAAAGCTCCTTTATGATTCTACTTTGTGGAATCAAATTACATCCCACTGCAATGTTCTTAGTTTAAAAGACATGAAATTAATGTAGGTCTGGGCCGGTGCGTGAACGTTAAGGCTTCCTTTCCACGGAGCAGTATCAGTAGAAAAGGTGGGGAGAGCTAGCAGGTACCCCATAAATAATGACAGAAACCAAGCATCCTCCCTGCCGACTCCCTTAGCAAACAAAATGATTTTATTACTTACAAAAATCATGGCATTGTTAAATTTAAAAGAAACAGAAAAACAAATGCATCGATAGACGCTTGTCTGCAGTCAGAGTGCGGGTGGATATTTCGATGCTCTTTTGGATTCCTAGATGGGAGGTGTGGGCGAATTTTAAACACAGCTGACCCCGTTTCCCACATTCGTATATTACGAATGGAACTCCAGAAAACGGAATTTTATCCCCAAATTCTCCAGGAGTTGTCTTCAAATCGCGTGTCTGTGCAGACGCGTACGGGATGCCCTTGACGTCTGCCATGTGTACCTGTGCGCTGGAGACCAGCCGTGGACCCGAATTGCTGGATTTGCGTTCCGATGAACCCAGCCTCCCAGGTCCACGCTCTTCAAGGCTTCTCTCGGTACCACTTGTAATTAAAACAAGAAAGGCAGTAAAACCACAACGGTCAGAACCCACCAGGAGCACCAGGTCCCCTGAGCCAGCCCAGCGGGGTTTCCAGCGCTTCCCGAGCGTTTCCGGGAGGCGAGGCGGGCACACACGGGGTCCTGGCGAGCCAGCAGCCGGAGCTCGAAGCCCTTGAGGAATAGAAGACACCACGGGCAGCAGAACCGGGTGCTAAAACCCAAACCGACCCTTAGCCCCACTCCGCCACGGCAGTCACATGATAACTGGCGGCGGCGGCTGGCGCTGCGCCTTTTGCGCTCTGAGCGCCGGGAGTTGGCAATGGAGAGGCGCCCCCGGGCAGGACTCCCGGGCCAACCCCAGGGTTTGGCACCAGGGACCTACTCGCGGCCACTCGGCGGCCACCCGCAACCTTGACAGTGTGCAGGCCGGGCAAATGGAGCCGGCCGGGGCTGGGCATAAGGGGCGCCGCTCACCCGAGGTGCGGTGCCACGTGCGCGCGGCGCGGAGCCCGAGTCCTACGAGTCCAGCTCCTGCCTCAGCGCCTCCCAGAAATGCTCCCCCAGATTTAGGGCGGGGCCTCTTCTTCGCCTTCCGCCTGGAAGTTGGCTCCCACCCGGCACCCCGATACTTCTCCCAGGGATCCCACAGCGGAAGGCCCAGCGGCGACCGCAGTGGGTCAACCTCTGCCAGATCCCGAGCTGGGGGCTTCAGGGGGCGCCGGGCCAGAACGGAGCTCCCGGCCGGACCCACAGTCCTGGAGGCCCTCCCGGTGCGTCCCGGCCGAGCCGGAGAGCCCGACCTGGGCCCTCGTCCCCGACGCCGCCCCCCGCCCCCCGCCCATTGGACCCCTGGGTGTCAGCGCCAGGGAAGCTCGCAGCGTGCCTAGGCCACTGCCTTCGGCGGCGCTTTCATTTTCCTGTCACCCCCGGTCCTTGGTTGCGGCTCCCCCACTCGGGTAAAGCCGGGGCGCCCGCAGCAGCCCCTTCCTGGGCCCCCAGGCTGCCTGTGCTCCGTCTCGGCTCCCTCTCCACATGTGGGTCTCTGTAGACTCGATCCGCATTTCCTGGCCGGCTGAGCCAGCTCGCTCAGCCTCGCCGGGGATCCCGGAATGGCCTCGCCTTCTCTCCCTGGTGTAGATCTAACCACGCCGAGGAGTGTCCCAACCTGGACGGAAAAAATGACGCGCACGCGTCTCGTGATGTTTGCGGTCACTGCAGTTTGCCTCTGCAGGCGGGCGCTTCTGGGCTCCGCGGTGCAGGCCGCGACCACCGAGGCGGGGGCTCGCTCCTCGTCGCTCAGCCGCTGTATTTCAGTGGGTTCGGGTGTGGGTACGTGTCTACGTGCCAAACCAAGCCGGGCTCTCCAAACCGAAAGCTGAGCAGAGTTGGGGTTCTGAGATGCTAGGGCTGCGAGCCAAGAAGATGGGGTCCCGACGCCGCTCTGCGGCTGGAGTCCTCGCGTCCCCGGCCTTCAGCCCCGCATCTCTAGGGCCGCTGCATCCGTTCCGTGTCCTCCGAAGTAGATCGCCACCTGCTCCGAGAGGGGAGTTGCTCCTCCGGCTCAGCGCTGGGGAAGTCGGAGAGGCCTGAAGCGCGCTGGCCAGGAGCATGGGGGGACCGACCCACAAGCTGACAGAGGGCAAGGCGACAGCGACTGGCCTGGGTACCGCGGTGCGGCCGGGACAGGGGGGTGGCTCTGCGATTCTGCCCGGGGCCCTGCTGCTGCAGGACCCGCGGGTCTGGAGCGGGAACCCTCTCGAGAAGGGACAATTGCTTCGGGTTCACCGGGACCGCACAGGCGGCGCCGCGGCGGCTCTGGGCCGGGATCCGGGACTTCGGAGCACGGCCAACCCACAATTCGTGCTGCTTGGCCTAATTCTGTTCTCCTGCTGAGTGCAGGCGGGAACAGAGGGGCGGCCGGTGTCCCCTCTCTAATCCCAAAGTCTCTCAAAGCCAAAGCATATACCCCAAACTCACCACAGCATCCCACAAACTCAGAGACTGAAACCAACACATGCAAACATAAACCATAACCCCGATCCGAAGGCACAGCTCGGAAAAGCAAAAGCAAAAGCGAAGAAAACAAAACACAAACACAGAAGTCCTCTAAAGCCCCCCACACAAACGAAAGCCACTGATAATACAAAATCGAAACACCACGCAGAAGGCAACGCCTTCCACAAGACACTGAAATAGAAAACCTTCCAGGACCAAGCGCACCAAACACGCAAGAGAGAAACAAACCAACCCACCCAGAAGACCAAGACTCACAGAGCAAGATTTCCAAAATCATATCCAGGAAAACAAACACCAACACGCAAAACACGCTGAATCCAAAGGCTGCCTGCTAGATGAGGCAAAGAAAACAAGCAAAAACCAAACCAACCCTCGAACTCGAAAAAGCCCCCAGGCCCCCTGCCCCCAGCCAGGGGTGAAATGTCGGTGCCGCGAGAGCTTTTGATGGCCGCCGCGGACAGGCCTCTGGTCCCGGCGCTGCCTCCCGGCGCAGGCAAGGCGCGAGGGCGAGAAGGCCGAGCCGGGGCTGGGTAGCGGGAAGACCGAGGCGAGCGCTCGGAGGTGGCCGGAACCTCGATCGCCGGGGCAGGGACCCGGACCTGCAGGCTGCAGGGAGGAGGCGGCGCCAGGGTGCTGCGCAGAGCACCGGGTGGAGGGCCGCCCCGGCATCCACAGCCGCGTTTCCGATTGTGGCCAAGTCTTCCCGGTGGCTACGCGATGTCCGCTTCCCACCGGGCCCCCCCTTTCCCTCGAGCTCTGGGCTCTTCCCCCAGGTTGCGGCCCAGCCTCGTGACCACCCCCCTAAAAAACAAACAGCACTCTCGCTGGGGACCAGCCACTCTCCGAAACTCTCATTGTCCGGCGGGCCAGGAGTCCTCCTGCGGAATGCTCCCGCGCCCTGGAGAACCTCGTCCCCGCGAGCCCCTCTCCGCGGGGCCCCGCGGGCTGCCGGCCGGACTCTGGGCTGGGGAGGGCCAGGAGGGCCCGAGCCGGGGCCCTAGAGAGCTGGCCGGACAGGCCATACTCTGCTGGTCTCTCTCGGGCTGGTTGCCCCTCTGGAGTCCAGCCCTGGGGCTCCGTAACTTCCCGGGCCCGAGGGTAGAGGGATTCCGAGTGTGGGCCAGGGTAAGAAGCCCCGGGCTGCCGCCTCAGGCCCAGAACCTCTGGATGGTTCTGCTGTCCCCGGGGAGCGCCAAAGCCGAGGCCTGGGCCTCAGCCTGAGCACTTCCCGGCATGACTTCCGTGCGCCAGGCGAGCAGGCTCTCGGGCCCCAGGGGGCGGCCTGGGACCTGGAGGCGCTGCCAGGAGTCTGGGGCCCGCCAGTGGCACTGGGAGGGGCTGGGGTGGCCCGGAGCCCCAGGAGCGGGCGCCGCCCTAGGGGTGACCCTGAGGATGTCGGAACGCCCCCTGCGCGCCCGGCCGCGCGCCGGGCCTTGGCGCCCCTTCAAAAGCCCGGGCTGGGCCGACTGGTTAATTTCCTTACACGCCAGCGGGGCCCGCGCCCGCCCACGCGCCGAGGTCGCACGTGGCCCGGCCGTCGCCTCCGGCTCTGCGCGGGGCGCGGGGAGCCCAGGCCGCAGGGTCGCGGACTGGCTGCAAACCGGGGCC